GGCGAGACTTTAGGTTGAGGGTGAAGGACTTTTCACAGGACTTTAGGTAAAGTGGACATTTTCTGGATCTTTGCCAGCCCTCCAAAAATTAGATAACATATACGAATCAAATGCTATTACATCAATAATGAATAAAATTCGTGCTGATCATAATTTAGAAATACCATTCTTACCAACAAACCGGATATTTCATTCAAGTTGCTCGAAGCAGAGCAAAATGTTATTTAGTGATTTTGAAAAATATCTTATAGAACATTATAAAGATCAGTGGACAAAACAGTATAGTCGAATTTTAGTATCGATGAAACCTCAACAGCTTGAATTCGATATACTCGGTTTCGCATTTGAACATACAGAAGCACAACGTTGTATTATTGAATCTCCTAATATTGAACCAGTTAATACGACATCATGTAAATACCTGGGATCATTCAAAGCCAATACCATTATTTGTGGTGAAGTCACAACATCTACTCTCACCTTCAACAGCAATGATTTATTATTATTGGAAAAGGTAGTTTAATATCATTTTGCTTTTCAACATTTCTAAAAAGCTCTTTTATTATTGTTTAATATAGAATATTTCTTCTAACTCATCTAATCCACAAAGAGCACAAGCAACATTCAAGCTTTTAAATAAACTTATCCAACTTGAACGTTGTGTGGCTTTCATTCTAAACTATTACAAAAATGTGACACTTGAACAGATAATAGCTGTTTTATTTGGTCGGTTTGTCGATAATCAACATCATCGAGCACCTGAACATCTATATGATATGGTTTTCAAGTCTTCTTTCTCGTCAAAAATTCCTCTATTATATAAACTATATTTACGTGATCGTGATGATAAAATAAAACAAATTTATTTCATATGCTAATATGGATGCTTGATATTTCTGCTTCTCTTACAGACAATAGATAATCGCCAGAAAGGCTGATATCTCGATGGCCAGATAAAAAGTCCGAAAATCAAATTTTCTCATATCAGAATTCGGGGATTCTTGACGAATTTAAATGAAATTCCGATATTGATTTTTTAGCATTTATAGACATATGCTGATATATTTCTGTTTGAAAAACATTGTTTACATCAAACATAATTTATTTTTATGCAAGTTACTCATAGTAAAAGAAACTGCTATTTCATTATTATGTAACTAATTGCTTGTAGAGAAATATAGACAGCGAAGAAAAGAAACTATTTCTTGTCAAATTTATCATTTGTTGCTACATCATTCAATACATTCTATTGCGATGTAGCGAATTCGTAAAAATGAGCATTTCAGTTTTAAGCATCCTTTGCATCGAGCTCATAAATCATAATTTTTTAATTCTTGCAATTAGGATAGCCATTCTTTCATATTAGTAATCAGGCCTCGCAGAGGTCCTTCTTTCCTACTGTTTTCCTTCTTTTTAAGGGGCGTCCTTCTTCATCCTTCTTTTTAAGAAAATTCCTTCTTTTCCTTCTTTTTTTCTTTGTCATGCAAGATGACCGTATAAATACTCCACAACAGAGATACTACACTTCAGAGAAATAATATTCATATATTAGAAAAACCACACAATGAAATAATCATAGTTCTAGAGCGTATATTTATTATTATTTATTTATTTTCAAATTTTTATATCTACAAATTTACAATTCTACAAAGTTATAAGCTCACGAATTTTATCTTCTTTTTGTACCATTTTTTCGCTCATTTTTTCAACTTTTTTCTGAGCTGATTCATTTGATCACTATTATCGCCGAGTTGTTTTTTCAAAACATCCAATTTTTTCTTCGCACCTCCAATAAGTAGTTGTGCCATTTCGACACCAGCAAAGGTTTCGTTGCAACGGTAGCTTCAAGTCGTCAGTTGCCTTCATTGAGCATTTTCGATGAATTTTCTAGATCTTCTTGTAATATCTTGCGTTGATCGATTAAATTCTGTTCTTTTTCGACCAAAAATAGTTGTTTGTTTTTCGTTAATTTTGCAGCAGCTACAATCGCTTCTTTTTCTTTGAGTATTCGTCGTGGTAATTCTTGATCAACTTGATATCGTGAGTGTGCTTCCTTTACATTGTCATGAAGTCCTTTGCAAATTGGAACCTATAAAGTATGTCAGTCACATTGATAATAATTAACTGTTACTTAATTGTCTCACTTACTTCATGAACTTTTCCTCGTCTGTAAAATTTGACGGCATCTTTCGTTGCTCGAAGTCTGTTGATGGAGATGTCACTTATAGATGATCGATCATCGGTGATTAGTGCTGCGTTTTGACTAAAGCCACGTTCAACATCGGCATTACCATGTGAAAGTGATAGAAGACTCTTGACGAGTTTAGGTAATACGACAAATTTGGCAATACCTGATCTGTTTTTATTGTAGGACGGTACATTTGGATGAATTCCTTCTTTTCCTTCTTTTCAATTAATTTCCTTCTTTTCAATTAATTTCCTTCTTTTCAATTAATTTCCTTCTTTTCAATTAATTTCCTTCTTTTCAATTAATTTCCTTCTTTTTAAAAAAAAATTTCCTTCTCAAAATCCTTCTTTTTATAAAACCCCGCTGCGGGGCCTGTATTAGATTAATCTTTCTTGAATATCCTGGGTGGGTGTAGGTGTGGGCGTAGATTCGGAAGAGGTACGCCAACACGCACACACACCCACACCCACCTCAGAATAGTTATTATTTAGGTGTCTTTTATTATTCATTCTATGTTAATAAATACTCTTCGTTTTATTTAATAGTCGTTCTCTTTTTACTTGACCATGTCGATAAAAATGGCCAGAAAGATAATAATCGTTCTCAAGATGACTTTGTTCGCATTTTTTTATAATATCTTGTAATGTGTTACACGATGATGTTTTTCCTAGACNCCCCCACACCCCCATAAACTGTCATAATTGACCCTACAACTGTAGAACTTATGCAAGTTGAGTCAAAAATCTTCGAATGAATGATGATTTTTTTCTGTATTAATCAATCTAAATTATAAACAAACATTAGTCTAGATGTTTTATGAAAACTCGTTTATAGATAAAACTTAATTTTTATGAGATCAATCATTTCCATTTTTAAACATGAAGTTTACTCGTCTCAATTTTGTTATCAATATGAATGATCATAATATTTGTTGATAAAGTGAAAACGAAGTATATATTTCATGCATGATCAATCATTATCGTAAAAGCCGATTGAAAACTTATTAGGATATTTTACATTAAGATTTTTCTTCTCGGTGTTTGTGAAAAAAATGTCTTAATATCGATTTAAACGAAAAATCATTACATAACCCCATAAAGATTAAATTCAAATATACGATATTAAGAAATGTATTTAGGTATATATTCTTGTCTATCACAATGTAAAGTTTCTCTTAATAAATGTTGTTTGCGGCTTCGTCAGCTGTCTCGACAAAGCCATAGCTGAGAAGAAGGATAGAGATAAAAATGAATCCCATCTGGTTTATTGCATAATCTTCTGTTGAAGAAAAGTGTGAAAAACGATTATTCAACAATGAATTCGAAACGAAATCTTATTTTTCATTCAAATGAAGTTTTCTTTGAAATAGATTATATTTAAATCGATTCGACTCAAACAAACAATCAGTTTAACATCTGATTGCTATTACAAAAAATAAAAATAAAAATAAACTATGTAATAGAGCATGTAGAAGTTAAATGTGATTAGTAATCGGATTGCTCTTAATGTGTCTGCATGCAGCAACTTGAACTGATTGAAAATGACATCGTCACTTCGTGCCAAATGTATATGCGATACAATAGTGATTTGAAAAAATTTTATTCTTTTTTTCTTCTTTGATATAAAATGTCTCCGTGTTCTTTTATTTCTTCTTCTTCATTCGACGTCGGTCAAAAAATCTCTTTCTCTCCTTTTCACACTCATTCGTTACTCGGATCGGGCGGACAGTTGAACTACGTGGTGTACTCGCTACTCATACTTTTGACTTATTCTCTTTTTCTTTCTCTCCTGTTCAAAATGGACACGCAATTTGAAATAGAATCAGAGAAAGAAAAAAAAAGCGAGAACAAATGAGTGAAATGCGTTAAACATGTCACAACTCTGCAGTTGGAATGTAATCAACAAGTATAGAGGTAAACTAATTCTCTTTCTCTCTCATACAAACGATACTGTTTTTTGTTGTTCCCTTTTTTTTAGCTAGGTCATTCGGTAATAATATGAGGTTAATCTTTCTTTGCTATAGTTAAGACTATCGTTAATGGTCCTCTTTTTACTTTTCTTCGTTAGTTGATTTCCTACAGTCTCGGTTGCATACATACATTGATTTCCTTCTTTTTTTATGAGACAACGATGTGAACAGTTGTATCGATTTAAGATAGGTCAACTAATGAGCAACCTTCATTTGTATAATGATCATCAATATTGAGAAAGGATTTGTCTATTGTGAAAAGATGAACCAAATTTGATACGACGAGAATATTCATTTGATACTGAATACATATCTCTCCACACTCTATATTTAAATATAGTTTATAACCAATAAATTGATTTTGAGATGGATGAATGATTACAATAGAAATTTATAATATGATCAAGTAAGTGAATTAATCTACTGTTTACCATTATTTCGGGCTTCTTTTCATTATATAAGCATAATTTTATTCATATTTGTATTCTTATTTTTTGAGAATATTGTTCTAATCGAAAGTAGAATAGCATTAAAACTTGAATTACGTTTTCTTTCATGAAATTTCATTTTATTAATTAAATACAACATAAAAACTAAAGATACTGAAGTAGCCGTTGATGAAATTATTTTATTTTATTCCTATCATTATTTCTCTCTCTCTCTCTCTGGCAGGCATATTTCCATCATATGTACACAGATGCTGAGAAGATCTCTCGACCTTCATTTAACTCATAGACTCATTACAATTACGTTCTTTTTTATATTCTTTTCAGTATACGCAGTCTTTTTTACAGCTTATTCAAGGTCTTTTTTCTCTCTCTTTCAGCACCATTACACAGACGCATTATAGAAACCATTATGAGAGCAGGTCACCCAATCATTATCTTTTTTCTGCATGATGTTAAAAGAATAAAAAAAGAGAAACGATTACATCATGACAGACCTTGTGTTCACACGCATGAATCCTTAGGACTTTTTTAACTTAACTAATTTGCTACTTTTTGTTAATAATAAAAACAAGACTTTCACAAAATAGACGAATAAATAAGTAAATATTCACTTTCTTTTATTGAATAAATATGAATGTTGAACTAACTTATCAGATTTTGTCGTTCATATATACTGAAGATTAAAAATCAACTCAAATGTAGAGTGAGCAATAAAGGAAACAAACAGTACTGATAATAAATATCTATACTCGTATATAATTAAATAGTATTCTTGTCATTTATTCATTGATCAACTCAACAAAGTAAAATGATTTTATCAAGATATTTTTTTTCTGACGTTTACTTATCTTTTTTAGGTCAGATAAAAAAATCAAATGTATATATTTTATCCTTTCTTTTTGACGAAGGGACAAGCGTGTTATTTCGTTGACCATCACTTTATTTCGGTGAATTTTATTTGTTATTCGTTCTTTCGTCTCATACACGCGTCTTAACGAGTGTCAGACTATAGGTCACTTTCTTCTGTCGATCGTCAACATCACGTACATTCGTTAGGATTGTTTTTGTTGATATGCATTTTATGTGCACACCTTGAAGAAAGAAAACAAAAAGAATAGTGAATTCACCTAACTAACACTGTATGTCAATGTTTTATCTTCTGTTTTATGTTCAATATTCAGGTTAAGAAATACGTTTTTTTTCTTCTACTGTTGATAGGTGACGAGAAGAGACCAACTATGATATGATACAATTATTTTGATAAATGGATAAATACACTTGTTTGATTGTTTAATTATTGTTGTAGATATTTTTGTGAAACCATAGACATTAATAACTGTTTTCTTCTTTTTCATTTCATCTTAAATAGACATTCATGATTGAGTTCATTTCGTTTCTTTCTTCTCACTCTCATATCGAAAGCAGATTGAACAGGTTAGTTAAAAGTGAAAGTAAATAAATCGTATGAGAAAAAAGAAAGAATGAACCAAAGAATCATATTACAATAACGTATGTTCGTTGAGGATTCTTTTTCAGCAAACGTTTGTTCAATCTTTCTCTTTCTATGACTACAATAAATTATTTATAATTCTCTTTAATTAAACTGATTTAAATTAAAATTTCTTATATAATTATCATAAATACAATTTTCATGTAAGTTCATATGTCTATTAGAAATCGTTACGATAAGACAGAAGATTTAACGATACCAATACGATGCATTTTGTAAGAAATATACTTCGTTCTTTTCTTTTTTGTTAATTTCTAATACGCAATTGTTTGCATAGAAAGTTATGCTTATTTTTATTGTCTTTCAAAAAATAAAGGCAATGTGGATGAAACCGAAAAGAAGAAGAAGAAGAAGAAGAACATACAAACATTAGTGAAATCGTTTTGATTACTTTTCCCTTGTATTGTTCAACGAAAGAAAAAGAAAAAGATCCTTGTACAAAGTAAAATGAGTAATTTTTTGTGTTGTTTACGAGAGAGAATATATCCATCTGTCATTGAAGAAGAAAATGAAACCATTATTCTATCCATGAATATGTTTCATACATCTCATTTTTCTTTCTGCTGAAACACATCTTAATTAGAAAAAGGTGAATGAAAATAAAAAAGCTCTTGTCTAGACAAGTTAGTTTGTATACAATGATTGACAATTCGACTAGTAAAACTGATGAACTTGTCAAATGCTTATATAAAAGAACACTTATTCGATTAAACATTTATGTAGTCACTAAAAAAGAGTATTTTTCAGATGGTTAAGTAAACAATTGAAATGGAAAATGAAAGAATACAATTGAATAAAATGCAGAATCAACAAGATGAAAAAGATGATAGTGGAATTGAACAAGATAATAGTTTTATCTATATTCGAATAGCTGTTGAAGATCTTAATTTGCAGGTATTGTTATTGACTTTAAATTATTTATTAAGATGTTAAATTTTATCTTTAGAAAGTACTTAAATTCAATTTGGATGACACGATATGGAGTGCAAAACAAAAAGTCTTACAAGTTCTTGTTCGAGTAAAATTTGATTTTAAATTATATCTTACGTGAGAATAAATAATAATAATATTTTTATATTATAGGAATTAACAGATAGTTTGAATTTTGGATTATATTTGCCACCATGTAATGGCCGAGCAGGCAAATTTCTTGACGAATCTCGTTGCCTAAGAGAATATCCATTGAGTGGGCCTGTTAGTTATCTTGAAGTAATTAAGATTAAAAACAAATAAAGTCAAATTGAAATCTAATTTTAATAATTTTATTTTTAGTTGAAATACAAACGACGTGTTTATAAAGCTATTCATCTTGTACAAAAAAATATTAATTTCAAAGTTAATACAAAAAAATTCGTTGATTTGATTAAAACAAATCAAATATCAAAAGTAGCAAGATATTTAGAGAAAGGAATTGATCCTAATTTTCATATTTCTGACGATGGTAAGATAAATTATATTACAAAAATAAAATATTGAAGTGCATCTAATTCATGTTGAATGAAATCGGTCATAGATCGAGGTCGTCTTTCTTTATTCTGATAGTTTGATCACAGTAACGCAAATGTTTTCAGAACAAAAAATTAATTTTCAATTTTCAATGTCTGACAGATGATTGTTACAACAATCTTTCATTTGTATATGAAATTTAATGAATGACTAAACAGTTACTATGAGTTTATTTTTGTTTTGGTTTCTGAATTCTATGTATTAGCGTGTTGACCTTTCAAATCTTTACCGATGAAAATAAAAATGTGAATAAAATTTTGCATTGGATGAAAGCTGAGTTTTAGTGAAAGAGTCTTCGGTCTTTTTTTTACTTTGGTATTCAAAAATAAGAAAATTTTCATCTAATTCTTTGATGTGAGTGAATTAAAAATCGTACTTTTTAAGACGTGACAGATGAAGCTAGTTGATCCCTATGTTAAGGTTACTTGTCGAAAAATGTTTCTTGAATAGATGATTTTGGAATTTATCGATAAACAGAATTAATATTGAATATTAAATTGAGAACAATTCTTTCTTTTTGGATCAATAAAATAGAAGATTTGCCATTTTGTTTCTAAGATGCGAAATAGATCTATCATTTCTAATGAGACTAAAACGAAAATTTTCATTTGACATTAATCATGACATTGCTTTTAATAAAAAAAGAAAACAACGAATAAATTATTTCAGAAACGCCTTTATCATGCGCATGTGTTGATTTACTTGAGCCACGATCAATGATAATGACATTAGTTAATGGTGGTGCGCATTTGGATTTTCGAACACGCAATGGAAGCTTTACACCACTTCATAAATCTGCTATTTACAATCGAAAAGAAGCTATTGTGGTAAATTATATGAAATCTGAATCCTGTATCAAATACAATTCTTTGTTAAATTTAGACACTTCTAGAACTTGGTGCATCTCCAAATGTATACGACGAGAAGAATTTAACACCACTTTATCATACAATTTTAAATAAACAAACAGAATTCAATGTTGATTCATCCTATTGTTGTTTATTATTATTACAAGATCATTCAATAGTTAATAATCGTGATGATTGCTTATCTACTGAATTACATCAAGCATGTCGCCTTGGGCTTGTTCAGCATGTTGAACATTTACTTTTTTATCGAGCTGATATTAATGCTGTTAATATCGGTGGAAATACTCCCTTACATATTTGTGCAGCAACTAATCAGGTAATTTAAATAAGATAATCTTTTCTTTAGATTTAATAGATAAATAACAATACAAAATGAAAGCCATTTTCTTTTTTTCTTCTTTATAAATCATGGGGCGTTATCAGATGACATTCTATTCTTTTCTTTTCTTGTTTTTGTTATAGTTATTTTTTTTTAAACATTGTTTTAGGATTATCGGTCTTTCTGCGTATACTTATACAAAAACTAACAGTCAGTCGATGATAAATTAGAAAGGGTTGAGTTGAGTGTAGTACTTGTTTGTGTGTGTACTTATCCATCCGCTTGCTCGTTCGCTCGTTCGTTCGCTCGTTTGTTGGATAGGCGGAGGAAGTAAAGATTTGTATTTTTATGCAACGAGAACGCCTGTTGATAAGAGTCCATTGATTGAGTGAGTAGGAAGACAACGAGAGGATTAGTGTGAACGTGACTCTTGACCAATTGGACATATCAGATATTGAAGGTGACATAGATCGATTGATGTTTGTCTTCAAATGAATTTTACTTTAGGAAGCTTCTGCTCGTATACTTCTTTTTCGTGGTGCTGATATTAATATTGTAAATAAATCAAATCAAACACCATATGAACTTGCATTAGTCTCACAGAATTCTTCAATAGCATCATTAATTCAATCGCATAAATCTGAACACGTTGTACCATTTCGAGAAACACCTTTAATTAATCCTAAACGTCGTTCGATTTATATTGAACAAAAACGTGATAGGCATCGTGCACGTTCATCATCGAATACAACTCCATCATCATCATTAGCTAGTCGATCACAAAGTATGCCTAAATTAAACGTTAATAATTATATACGATCAAGTCAATCACCAGTAACAACACCAACGATTGAACATTATTTTCAACAACAAAATCCATCAAGTAGATCTTCGTCACCAAAATCGTTTAGTGTTAATAGTGATCATGGATTTGGAAGTGAATGTGCATCACATTTATCTTCTGGTAGGTTCTAAACATTTTGTTTTGTTTTTTTTGCGTTTACGAAATTTTTGTTTCTTATTACTAAAAATGAAGGCTCACCTAATGCAACAACTAATGTCAATGGTTGTTACGCTTATAAAAGAAAACGTTTATATGCAGCAGCACCTGGAAGAAAATGCATGTGCATCAAGTCATATCATTCAAATTCGCCTGGAGAATTATTATTAAATAAAGGAGATATTGTTGAAAGTAGGTTTATACATGTTACGTTTGTTTCCATTTTAAATTTATTTCAAATGAATTATTTTAGTTTTGAGTGTTGGTGAACAAGGATATTTAGAAGGAAGATGTAAAGATGTTGAGGGATGGTTTCTGAGTAATCATGTTCAAGATATTTGTGTTTTCAGTAAGTTTTATTAATGTTTAATTAAATTTTATTTCATCATTTTTCCTATGATTTGTGAGATTATAGCACAAATAATAGAACGAATTCGAAATTCATATATTATGATCAGTTCGAGATTTTTATCTAAAACAAAAGTAAAAACTAAAGATTCTGTCGACAGGAAAAAATAACATTTTCGAATAGAAAAATGAGTTTTTTAAAATTCTTTTTGCAACGTCAAAGGACAAGACGGCAAGAAGATCAATGCGATTAGAAAAAGAACATTGACATGAATTTGTATGCGTCTTATTGGAATGTATTTCTTGTTTGTTTTTATGAATTCATATCTCATTTGAATTTTCATGTATTATATTCCTTGGAAATTTTTCCAATTGAGTCATTTATCATTATTCTCTATAGATTATCTATCGAAAATGAATTATTTAAATCATTTAGAAAATGGTGAAATGACAAATGATGATACTATTGTTATTAGTCGTGATGCTTTATCAGCTTTAATGATCAACAACGATACGTATTTACCACGTACAATTGTTTTACAACGAGGAAAAAAAGGTTTTGGATTTGTTCTTCGAGGATCTCTAGGCAAATATATTTATATGAGAATAATAAAATAAAATAAATATTTTCTTCTCATAGTTGCAGGCAAATTATTTCAACCTAGTCCTTCTTTTCCAGCTTTACAATTTCTTGGTAGTATTGAAAAAGGTAGCAATGCCGATAAAGCTGGCCTCAAACAAAATGATTATGTTCTAGAAGTAAGTTTTTATTAAATATTATTATGTATTCTTTTTATTAAATTTATCCTTAATAAATAAAAAAGATAAATGGTATTAATGTTATATCAATGCCACATGAAGAATGCGTTAATTTAATAAAACGAGCCGGAGATACATTAGCATTGAAAGTTGTTACAGCTAGTACATCGTCAATGATAAATTCTCATTATCAACATCATGATTCAAATTCAAATCAACATAACCTTTGTTCACAATCTTTACCTTATCGACGAAAAGGTGAAATTTTTTGAAAATTATTCAAACAAAAAAATTCAACTACATTTAATTTTAGCACCACTTCGACCTGATCTTGAACAACAATTGAATGGTATGTAGATTTTCTTATTGATTTCTTAGCAATGCATTAACTTTTCAATGGCATGCTTCTTCTAATTAAATAACCTGACTTAATTTAGCTCTTTCATCATCGTCGAAATTATCAAATAGATTATCGCCTTTTCATTACTTGTTTCATCCTTCCCAATCGAGATCACTGATCATGAAGAGAAAAGAACATATAAACTTCTTAGGTATTTTTTTACACTAGAATCTGTTGCATGCAATTATCACTGAAAGAGAACAGGCGCGTATGCATGTCACTTATATACTCATATATCACAATGCATGTTCGTTAGTATTTTTTTTATTAACTTTAAATCAGGAGACAGCAAAAATCTGTTAATTGATTGAAAGAGAATCTTTTCACAAATTTTCTTTTTATTCAGGTTAGGTTTTTTTGTAGAAATGTTGTTCCAGTAAAAGTTTAGAAGTTATTTTTAATGTTAATTAACTTTAAATAATAGAAATACTGTTGAGAACCAACTTCATGAATTTTGAAGAAATCTTCAAATACTTTTATAGATTTCCAAAAGAGCACATGTAGAATATATTTGAAGACTTATTTTCGTGAAGTTCTTGTTCATGATGTGAAAATCTTTTTATTTATTATCTAATCAATTCAATCCAATGTTCTAGTATGATTTTGCTTTTGGTTGAATAAAATGTCTTCCGAGCATATTCAATTCTTTCATATATATATATATATATGCGTATGTAGCCAAGCTTGAAAATCTTCGAATACGCTACAATTATTTTCTGAAACAGATGACATTTGTTCTGTGAATTTTTTTTTTTGAAAACCTTTTTTTATGAAAGAAAGCTTAAGTGACGACAATAGAAGAGAAACTAATAATATCAATCAGTATAAAGACACATGAAAAACATGAAGAAACACAGAATTTACTTCTGAGACTTCTCTAGAAGAACTCAATCATTATCTTGAAGCACCTAAAACAGTATAAACTAACATGAAATTTACATTAGCAAATATGACGTTTAATTACAATTAGTTCTGCTCATATTCCTTAAATTAGTCATGTTTTTCTAGAGAAATTCCACTACAGAGAGAAACAGTATTCATTCTAAACATTGTTTTCTCTCGTTAATGTAAAACAAATTAAAATGCCTTAGACAAAGCACAGATTTCTTTGGAAAAACAATCGAAACGAAAATGTTTTTCCTTCTTAGAAGATGTTGATCGAGCATTGGGTGAATATGATTATGGTAGTATGATTGTTCCATCATCAAATAATTCTGAAGACTGTATATCTATGTCAAAACAACAAAATGAGAATATTCCAAATGGATCTGGTGGTTCTATGAATCCAAAGTAAAAGAAATTCTAGATTATTTCAATTTAAGCACGTTCTGTAAATTTAAAACCTTTAGAAATAAACCCTTAGTTCCAGAACGTGATTCTTCTCTCTACGATTGTTTTCCTTCATCTCAAAGTCAACAAGGATATAATACATTTCGACCATTAATCCGTGGATCACCTTCCACGACCAGTGTAGCAAATTTATCATCAACAACAAATCATCGACGTAATTCAAATTCATCCTCAAACGAAGCTGATGAAGAATCATCCTTATCTTCATTGAACAGTAATCATGTTCTGCCCATAAATCAAATGTTGATTGAAGACAATATTACTGCTATTTATTCAACTCCTTCTGGTTCTTTAAATACAACCAATATGTCGACTTTTAAAACAATAAATCTAAATCCTCTACCATCAAAGCCAAGCGATATTAAAAAACGATCAAATAATCGAAAACAAATTTATACAACACTTAATTCAAATAATAACAATAATATTGTATCGATTCCAATAGAGAATGAAACTTTTTCCAATCTCACTACTGCTAATGTTTCCACTGCACCACCACCACCGCCACCACCATTTCCCGTTAATTTTGATATTCCAACTAAGATAGAACGTCAAACTTCATCAAAATATGAATCTATCAAACTAACATCCGATTTTCAGTCACAAATTGAACAAGCAAAGACTCGTTTAAAAAGAGTGAATCTTGAAACATCATCTCAAAAAACAGTTGTCAAATCGTATCATAATCGTAAGTTAAAAATGAGCTTTGATTAAGAGTTACAAATGTCAAATAGAAATTTTCATCAAACTATCAAGGAATTATTCTTTCATCTTTTCTCTTGTTTGCTTTTTAGCTAACTCAAATAAGATTCTTTCACCATCTTCATGCTATCCGGGTGAATTAAAAAATATTGTAATCGAGGAGGTAACTCCTTCGAATGGTTTTCCTCCTCCTCCATCTCCTACGACACTTCATCATTCAACTCCTCCGTTGGTATCATCACCTCAACGTAATTCCACAGTGATTGATCCAAGATTGGATGTCAATTTCTCTGCTGTTATTGCGCAGCGTGCAGCAGAAGCAAAAGCTCGTCGTCATGAAAATCCTTTGCGACTTGACTTTAATTCAAATGGTTTACCACCGTCAACAACGTTTTTTAATAATTGTGTTACAACAAATGGTATTCATCAAAATTCAACAACAAACAGTAAGCCATTCGATTGAAATAAATCAGTGAATAAATATCATTTTTCAGTTGTTTATCATCATCGTTATCGAAATTAATTCTTTTATGTAAGAGATCAGTGTGATATATGTGTATTTATGGGCTTTAGTCATTTCTTTCGCATGATTAATAGCAAATAGAACAGAGAATTATGTATTTTTTGTTGCATGAAAATTTCTGTTTTAGTCATCGTCGTTGTGCTTCTTCTGTTTGTTTGTTAGCTAGTAGAGAATATCGACAATCAATCAGATTGTTAATTCAATTATTGTAAAATTTGTATAGCAATAAGAATTACACTTGTGTATAATTCTATTTATTCTTTCAAAACGATGAATATCGAGAACGAAACAGTTAAACTATTATTAACATAGAATAATATAGTACTGATGAAATTAGAATTGCGAAGAAACGAAATGAGTCATGAAGAATCCCGAATGTAATTTATAGAACAATTTTTTTCTCAATATTAGACTAAAAAGAATGAATCGATATCTGTTTATTCAACATTTATTTGCTCGTATATTCTCTGTTTAGTATTCTGTTAACCATGAACAACAATCTAGTTATTTCAATTTGATTTTACTCCTATATTCAATGCATATAAATATGAAGTATACTGCATTGCTATATGTTTAATTCTAAAATACTAAAATTTTAATATTATTTCCTTAACATTAAATTAGAAAACAAACAGCTGGCTCTTCATCCCACCGAACTCCGAATCATACTTTTGTCTTTCATATGAAGTATCATCTATTAGAAGAACTTTTTTTCATTTAATCTTTAAAAGATATTACTCTAAACGATATTGAGAACTTAAACATTGAATGTACGATATTTTGTAAAACAAAAAATAGACGGACTGGAAATTTCATAGACTATAACTGTTGAAATATTTTCAAAAATAATTTGAAAGCAGTACTAGGAGCATCAGTATCCATATAAATAATGACTGCAGAAAACATGCGAATTTGTCGCGATAAAACTTTCCATGTATATTATCTTGCACGTATGGGGCTCATTTCTTATACACGTTTATTTATTATAGGTTAATATATTTGTATTGACTTTAGGTTCAGTGTGTCCACAACGATTTAGTGCTACAGCAAATCAATTACTTGAGAATCTCAAACGTCGTGGTGGGAGTACATCATCAATTGGTTCTCTTGTTAAACATTATAATCAACAACAATCTTCATAGTTTTTGAACCTTTGTGCTTGTCAAAAAGGATAAAATATCTTTTCCTTTCACTTATGTCTTGTTATCGAGTTTTTCTACGACAACGAATCTTGTTTATCTTTTGTGCGTGTATTTGTATAGCTGTTTTTTAATCAGTGATATTCACAGTCTTAAATGTCTGTGTGCTCTCGAAACTGCCGCCTTGGTTTTTCTTTTCTATATGTTTATTAGCTATATTTCTACTCTTGTCTTTGCTTGAATTTTTAGCGTTCGCACTTAGTCCAGTCATCTGACACATTTCGTGCGTATACATCGGTTGCTTACAATAATATAAAGATGAAGTATACATGTCAAAAATGTTTTATCCTGGAAGATAGATTCATTTTTCATTCGTTGATTCAACAAAGCATTTTCACAACTATCGATTAGAATGAGAAGTAAATATCGAAAAAAAACAGACCTTTAAATATGATACAAGAATAAAATATCGAGTCATTATAGAAAACGAAATGTTTTGTGCCAAAAAGAAATAACATTGTATGATTTACTCTCTTATCATAAGGATTTCAATATCATTTAATAAAGCATCATTAAAATGATGTGGATTGAAACTATTTAAAAAATCAAGCAAGCTAAACCATTAATTCAGTATCTAAAAAACACTTAACACCGTAAGAACTAATCACTGCATCTTATACGGTTTGAAAATACTGAATAAATGTGAATTTTGGCGTTTCAGAATACTGCCTGATACCGAGATTGTATTTATCATATTTTACAGTTTTATTTTCAAAACAATATTCGTAGCTATCGCGCAGCCAAATTTTAGAATTTAATAGACAAACTTGTATGGTGACTTGGTTTGAATGTAATACTTTATTCTATTTATTTGAACATAAAATAATTTTAACAGCTGAAGGTTATTAAAAGTTGTTAAACACACGAAAATCTTTTATGTAGAACGCATTTATTTGTTATTAGCTTAAGCAAAGTGACACAAAAAAATGCAACTGATTCTCGTTTTATAGGAATTCTCAAAGCAAAAATTTTCGAGATCATCAAGTATTCGAGAGCATGTATATGAACTATAAAAATGGTTCTAATTTTGAATAATATATTTATGCAGACTCCTTTCCAAATAAATTATTTGGAAGCTCCAGACAATATGTTATCAATTCATAGCAGTCACATTCATAGTTTGTAGGTTACCCACTTAGATCTTTAATAGCGCTGCTCTAGCAAACTCTTTTTTTGTCACTTCACTTTGTCTATTTTCTTAAATAAAATTTACAAAGTTGGAGTAAAAAAAGCATTTAAGTCTTATTGATATTTTATTTATTTTCAATAATCAATCTATCTAGAAAAATGTTTGAGCAAGGAACAACAATTTGGTTTGTACTACATACAAAAAAATATTAACTAATTTAACAAAAAAACAATAAGAGACAAGTGTGAAACGAATAGAGCAACGAAGTTTTCACTTCGTTTACAAAAGAAAAATGTTAGGGCTTATACAAAAAGGTTATTTTTATCGAGAGCAAGAAATTTTTAGTCAATAAATCAGTTTTAAATTAACGAAATTCACTCAGCGATCACATCTAACATATTTTCGATCATCATTTCAATTATTTCATTATCATGTGCTTGTCGTTGTTCTTCTAATAAAGCCTGTTGCTGTGCGCCTAACGCCGTTTGCTGCTCAGTCAATTCTAATTGTTGTTGGGCTATTATCTGTTGTTGTTGATGATAGATATTACTATGAGCGTTATTTTGTACAGCAAGCAAGTACAAATATGTCCAATGGATACTAGCCCACTGATCATTAACACGTTCCCAGGTCGTGGAGGTACGGCGGGAAACGACCGGAAAGCACGGGAAATAGCTGGAAAGTGGAAGCAGTATTCCGGTCGAAAATTCCAGGATTTTTTTCCGGTGGATTCCGGACAACTTCCAGTACTTTCCGGCAGGAACCGACAGTAAATCATCGAGAAAAACTCCGAAAATTTTCCGACCGGAATACTGCTTCCATGTTCCAGAGACTTCCCGTGTTTTCCTCCGGAACACGGTGATTTTTCCGCAACTTTCCGGCCGGTTCCTACAGTATCCGGTGACCGGAACGATCGACTGGATATATTCAATGCATATAAATATGAAGTATACTGCATTGATATATGTTTAATTCTAAAATACTAAAATTTTAGTATTATTTCCTTAACATTAAATTAGAAACAAACAGCTGACTCTTTATCCCATCGAAATCCGAATCATACTCCCAGGTCGAGACTTACGGAGTCCATATACGACCGTTTACGATCGTATATGCTCCGTTTGGCTCCGTATACAATCGTATTTCACCGTAATACATGTCTCAGTATTACGATCGTATATCGCCGTGTCGTTTACGGAGCGATACGACCATATACGGTAAAATACGGAGTAAAATGGAGATCGTATACGGGCTCAATGCACATGAAGCGTAAACGACCGTGCTTGTTCGACCTGGGAGCTTTTGTCTTTTATTTGAACTATATCCTCTATTAGAAGAACTTTTTTCGTTTAATATTTAAAAGATATTACTATAAACAATATTGAGAACTTAAACATTGAATGTACGATATTTTGTAAAACAAAAAATAGGCAAACTGGAACTCTCATAGACAATAAATTTTGAAACATTTTCAAAAATAATTTGAAAGAAGTACTAGGATTATCAGTATCCATCCATATAAATAATGACTGAAGAAAAAATGTGAATTCCTCACATTGAAACTTTCCATGTATATTATCTTGGACGTACAACAGTGGCAGAATTCTTAGCAGAATTCTGTATTCCTTATAATTAGTTGACAAGCAAAGTTCTAGTAAAATTCTGCTGTGAATACAGAATTCTTACATTCTGGTTGTGAGAATTCTGCCACCCCTTATTTTTAACGTAGGTAAAGCTAGCACCCGATTCGATAATTCTTGTCCCGATTCGCTTGGTGACTTATGCTATCATTCTAGTCAGTTGTGCTGAATGCAGAATTAAATTCTGAATTGAATCATACCATTTTTACAGGGTATCATCGGGGGAAAAATGGGTTTCTGTCGAAAAACTGGTTTTGGAGGTATTTTGCCCGATGCCCCCCCCCCCCTGTAAAAATGGTACCATTCGATTCAGAATTAAATTCTGCGTTCAGCAAAATCAAGTAGAACAATAGCACAAGTCACCAAGCGAATCGGAACAAGAATTATCGAATCGGTTGCTAACTTTACCTACGTTCATCTTTAAAAATTTCAGGATAATACAAGAATAAAATATCGATTCGTTATAGAGAACAAACATAAAGTTAGTATAGGGTCTATTATTTTATTTTTATGATTTCAATTTTGAACTATTTAAAAAATTGAACAACTCAGAACATTCATTCGGTAGATGAACAACAATTCTTACCATCGTAAGAACAAATTTCTATGTCGAACGGTTTGAAAATACTTAATAGATGTCATAAATATTCATGGTTCAAAATACCACTTCAGATTGAGATTCAATTTATTACATTACAGATTTTTACGTGAAAAATTGACTTGAGTCTAATATTTCATTCGATTGATTGCTTCAAATAAAACAATGTTGATCGTTGAAAGTTATTAAAATTTATTAACTATGCGGAAATCTTTGATATCGAATACATTTATTTGTTGTTTACCTAAATTTAATGATATGGAAAAAAGCAACTGAGAAATGCCGTTTGAAAAGATATTCATGTGAATAGAAATTGAAGATTTATTCGATTTTCTGGTATAGTTTTCTCAAATTGATAGTCTTTTATTTATTTTATTGTCTACAACTAATATAATTGTATTGAAGATCATAACAGATTCGAATTTCATCAAATTGACCTTGCTTATCCATGTAGACTTGAATGGCTGAAGGAAATAATTGAGGTGAATTTAATCGAAGAAAAGCATTTTTAATGGATGATGATGTTGGCTGATTCATAGCACGAATATCAGGAGTTTTCAATTCATTAAAAAGATATTCAATGGCATTAAAATAATCTGTTGCTGTCTTAAAATAACATGAACCTATAACAATGATTTTTCAGATCTATTGGCAAAGAACAGATAATAGTTTGTTCTTACCATGTTTTTCCCATTCAGCTTGCATTAGATCTTCATCTGGCATCAGACAGTAATAGCGTTTAATAATTGCTAGTGGAAGTTGTTGTTCATTGTGACAGTTTCGAGGTTGATCTCGAATTGATGAAGCTTGATATGTTTGTGGCCAAAGACCATGAACGACAAGACCAAAATCATTACTTCGATAGCATTGAAATTCTTTGTTGCGTACAAAGTCTGGAAGTGATGAACAAAATGTTGGTGACCTAGAAACACAACAAGAGAGTCCATAAATCTTTTGAAACCTTGAAATTTAATACCAAGACAGACTCAAAACAAAATAGTCTGTTTTACTTTTTGTATTTATCCATTCATTATTTCGTGACTGCCAATTGTAATCATAAAAGTTTTTTAACTTTGAAGGAAATGGACATGATGTTTGACTACCTACAGCTCCATGTACTAGTAGAATCCACGTCAAGGACAAGCAGCAAAATACAAAAGTGTATTCTTTCGACAACATATTACTGATTGTAAACATACATCGAAAGAATAAAATCACTCGTACTTTATTTACCTGTTTATTTCTCTTTCGTGTCGGCCTATTTCATTTACATTTATGATTAATATAGAATCAAACCTTCACAGAAAAGCAAAATGAATAATAATAAAAATAATGTTTATAGGGTACTCTATAAGACCTACATAGATGTATCGAACGATTAGCATGAAGGAGAACTAGAAAGAAAAAGCGTCATATATATTAGTCACCAGACTCGAACAGTAATTGAAACCTAATAGATTCATAATAATGAAAATTATATCGGATAATTTATGAAAAATATTTAATAAAAGAAGTATTGTTTTCAAATTTGAATCAATTTTATATTAGAAAAATAAATAACATTTTACTCTTCTTTGCAATTAAAGTATCATCTATCAACACTTGATCAAATCAATTGAAAGTTTTGAAGTTTCGTATACATATAGCTGAGCTAATAGGTCTTTTAAATCTTTTTAATTCGTCATGCCATCTTGTAGATGACACGAAGAACGAAAACAAAATATTTTTATGTTATAAATATCATATCATGTATTTAAGGAAAACTATTTTCTTATGGCTATGAATAATAAATTCACAGTTCGAGCACAGATGACTGTGATAACTGGAGTACAAGAGACAAATATTATAATCAGTTTTTTACGCTCTTTCGAATGATGTAATTTTTATCAATTTTGCACAAAATTGAAAATTTCGAACCAGTTGATATGTTGTGCTTTTGATTTTTACACTATTTTTTAAGTCATAAATAAATTTCAATTTCGTAAATAGAGATATGAAACAATTTTTCATTTGTCAGCTCTGGATTATAAACGTGCCTATACATTCTATTTTTTTTGTTCGCGTACATTTATGGATCACTCGATTTTCCATTTGAATAATTTTTTTCAGTAGATTTATGATCAGGTTGATACAATTTTTCTTAGTTTATTAAAAAAAACATCTATCACCTTAAGTTTTTTAACTTTTTGTGCTTCGCATTGATGTACACTTGTTTTTCTGTCTTTAGATCTTTTTATATATGTAATTACAAGAAGTGCTTTTATTCTCGATGTGTAATTAATAGATGTAAACGATGTTTACAAAAATTAGTTTATAATCGAAGCTATTCTACAAATTAGTAATGGATTAATGATTTACAAAACAAGAATTATGCACCTCTACAACAAGTCAATTGGTACAACATGAACGTTACACTGTTATTAAAGGTCGAATGAATTTTAAATTATATAAGTTTCACTATTTTTATAGTTTTTAGAAGCAATAAAATCACAACTCAAACCAAATAGTGAAGCAATGAACTTCCAATGGCCAATGATTCATGAAAGCATACTTGAAAAACGAAGCAATGAAAGCAAAAAAAACGTCGATTTTAGTAATATCAATAAAGACAAGCAACTATGAGAATCAATAAACAATGATCTTTGTTTTTGTTTTATTGAAAGTTTCTTTGCTAGAAAATATTTTTTTTTCATTTCTATGTGAGTTTACTAAGCATGTTATCTAAGTGCGAGAAACAATTATTATATCTGAATGTTAATCAGCGTTTCTTTTTATTGTTCTAGTGCTTTTACCATTTATTGTATCGTGTATATATTAATTGACAATTAATAAGTGAAATAAATGTATGAAACACGAAATCGATCTAATTAGTTCTTTATAATAAGCCTAGCAGAAAGACCGTATCGGTTAATGAAAATCAATTATTGGTTGACAATGGGTTAACCGCGGTTACCCAGAAAATGTCCGGTTAATCACTGGCCTCCGATTGCACTTTTTTTAAAAATATAGGAATCCTTCGAGGATCAATGTTGTCAAAAATATAGGATTTTCGATAAAAAATGACAAAATGAGAGGACGTTTTATAGACCGTTTCTGTTCAAATGTTTTGGTGTTTTTTAACTGCTCTGCTCGAAAATCGTTTTAATGAAGCTGTAATAAACAGTTCAATCGTAGCCAAGATCCTTATGTATTTTTTTCTACTGAAATAAGTATCTAATTCGAGGATTATTAAAAACGTTTGTCACAAATCGATAAATAACAATAAAGCAGATCATAAGCTTTGAAAAAACAAATACATGAAAAAGACAAATACTATTTCTTATAATTAAAGGAGACTTTTCAGATTACGGACATGACTTCCCAAAAAATCTCAACCTATTTTTATTGTCTTGATAATCAGCATTCATCGCTTATTATTTTCCACAATTTTATTTTGTATTTTATCATAACTCAATTTTCCCTGATAGTACGGAGTGAAAATTTTTTTTTTCCAGGGGTATATATATACAGCTTTTAGATCTAACTAAAACTTCACAAAAAAAACCCGAAACTAGTACATGATCACTTTGTGAATGTATTTTTCTTTTGAACTATTTTGTATTTTGTACTTAGTATTAAACAATTTCTCAGTCAGCCCACTAAATAGGCGACAGGAAAAATACTGTTTAAAACAAATGTCACTATAATACAAAAATTTGTCCAAAACACATGATTATGCACATTAAAATTTTTTTTTCGTCTTAAGACAATAGCAAATTTAAGAAGTTTTCGGAAATGTTCTACTGTTTTCGATAAAATATAGGAAAAATAGGACTTTTGAAAATATAGGAATTATAGGAAATATGGGTCGAATCGCAGCCCAGGTTAATCACGGATAAGCGTCGGTTTTTCGCCAGTTCGAGCTGCATGAGACGAATTACCTCATTTGTTTAAATGTTATTTGATACATCAAAGATAATTATCTTTTACAGAATAATTTGAGTAAAATTTCATCGCTGCACACACATAACAGAATCAGAAGACTTGATCACGATCAAAACATTTTTGTGAATACATAATGAAACCGAAGCTTCATTTTCTATCCATCAATGCAAAAATAGGAAATCATTTCGCACCGCATGCCATGTAAAATGAGCGAAGCTCAGATGCAACCTAGTTTATTAACGAGATCCACTCATTGGCCACAGGCTGCCAATAAAAATGATCATGCTTTACTAAATAACCAATATGTGATGAATATTAGTGGTATTTCTGTGAATAATGATCTGAAAACAACTATGTAATCGGCATCAATGCCATTGAAAGAATGAAAACTATACAAAGCTATGGTTTTAAAAGTTCCAGATTCATCTACGAAAAATATCTCAATAATAACTTACAAGCTAATGATTCTTGTTTCTTTTATTTCGCTGAAGATCTTTATGAGTGTTGAAGGTTTACAATACAAAAACACAACAACAAATAGTAAAAGGTCTGCAAATAGTTCATAAACATAAAAGAAAAATTTCTGTTCTTTTGTCATTTTGGTTATAACTTTCGAGTGATAACAAATTCAATCTCGCCATCTTTGATCTAATTAGAAAGAAAAAAAAGAAATAAGAAGTGATTTTTTTCTTTATAATCAAACAAAACTTACGGGGAATTTTTTTTCAATAACAACAGGATTTTGATCTCTCTCTGCCAATGGAAGAAATGGTTTTTGAATGATCACTTCAATTTCCTCTCGTTGTTCTAATGCAACACGAGCGATTTCACTTGTTTGTGGTTCTACAGAATAATAAACAAGTATATCATCAGTTGGCGTCACTTTCGCCTACGTAAAAGAAATGAATGTAATTCAAAAAGACAATTCAAATATAAAACAAACTTCTTTTCGAAGTTTTTGAATTCGACTTGTAATTTCACGAATGAGACCTTCATCTTTCAACGATGCATCGGCTGTATAATCGAGTAAAACAACAAACTATCAATGTAAAACATAAACTCCAAAAATTCTGGAAAAAATTCGTCTCACTCCTTGCTCAGCAGTTGCTTCATACTGCATTTGTTTAGCGACGCGATATACAATATGGATATCTTCGAATTCAATTGGTACATCATCTATAACTGTTAATGGACTTTCACCTTCACCTTTTAATAATAATTTCTCAACATCTATGTTAGACATTCCACGAATTTTTTCAGTTACTGATTTGACTTTTGCTAAATATTTATATTTCATGATTACAAAAAAATATTAACAAATAAATACATACAACCAGCTTTTTTTCCTAATGTTGGATAATTTGGTTCAGCACGCATTTCAACACCATAAAGTTCACGATCTTGCGATAATGTTACTTTACGTACATTCAAACCCTTTAATAATAAAAATAAATATATATCTAAAAGAAAACCGAATAAAAAAAAAACATACTTCTCGAACGAAATCTTCTAATGATTCAACATCTTTTAATACGGAGGAATCTTTATGGATAACAACAAATTCTGGTAGTGGATACTAGACAAAATAAATAATTCAATTCAATTCAAGATATTCTTATAAAACAAAGAATAAACTAAATTTACTTTCATAGGAACAACTTTTCGTTCTCGTACAACTCGACCTAATCCAATAACTGTTTGTACGGCAGCTACAGCGCGTTCAATATTTTTGTTTACCAATGAATGACTAAATTAAATTTTTCAATGTTTTGTTGAAATTAAAAAACAATAGCAAAATAACTAACTGTGATTTAGGAATCATTTGAAAATGAACGCTTAATTCTTGTTCATGAGATAAAGATGACGATGATTGTGGCATTAATTTTCTTAAAATTTGATACATATATTCGGCAAGAAACGGTGTAAACGGTGCCATTAATTTAGCCATTGTTAACAGAACATAACAAAGAACATTTAATGAAACGAGACAATCGTCTAATGTTGTTTCACTCTAACAAAAAACGAAATTAAAGTCAATCGAAAATTATTTAATATTAATGAAAGTAGCATAAATCAGTTTACCTTGAAGCGTTTCTTATTTAATTTGACATACCAGTTGGTTAACATATCAATATATTTAACAAGACGAGGAACCACAGTATATAAACGATAAGCTAAAGTAAAAGTGAGATTTGGTTTTAAAAATCTTTACTTTGAATAACAAAACCGATTCTGTTATTATAACAAAATTTTAT